GACAAATTACAGTATAGTAAACAATGTTCATATAGTTTAAGATCATATCTAAACTATAGGACAAATTACAGTATAGTAAACAATGTTCATATAGTTTAAGATCATATCTAAACTATAGAACAAATTACAGTAAAGTAAACAATATTCACATAGTTTAAGATCATATCTAAACTATAGAACAAATTACAGTACAGTAAACAATATTCACATAGTTTAAGATCATATCTAAACTATAGGACAAATTACAGTAAAGTAAACAATATTCACATAGTTTAAGATCATATCTAAACTATAGGACAAATTACAGTAAACAATATTCACATAGTTTAAGATCATATCTAAACTATAGGACAAATTACAGTAAAGTAAACAATATTCACATAGTTTAAGATCATATCTAAACTATAGGACAAATTACAGTAAAGTAAACAATATTCACATAGTTTAAGATCATATCTAAACTATAGGACAAATTACAGTATAGTAAACAATATTCACATAGTTTAAGATCGTATCTAAACTATAGGACAAATTACAGTTAAAGTAAACAATATTCAATAGTTTAAGATCATATCTAAACTACAGGACAAATTACAGTGAGCCCACTAAAAACATACGAGTCACATAGAAAAATTTATAGGAAAATACCATCAATATTACAATTAATCCCACTCATTACTGCTGTAGTTTCCCGTGTTTTTAAATATTAAAAAAAAACATTAGTGATTTCATTCTCCCCTTTTTGGTTAGTTTTTTACACCGAGAGTTGTATCCAATGTGATGTAAATAGGTGAATTTCACCTGTAGTGAATGAAATAGAAAAAAAAGTCAGTAATTTTGAAGGTTAAAGGGCTTGGATATACTTGCATAAGTTTTTCTTTCAAAAATTTGTTTCCATATTTATGAAATGTTATTTTGTTTTATACTAGATGGAAAGAGCTCTATCTTGACCTTCAAGACAAGGTGAATCCATTCAAGGTAGATCATTTAATTACTTAATGTTTTATGGATTAAATTGAAAATATTTTTATAACTACGTCTCAAATACTCTGCTTTCAGCCTTTGATCAACTAGAAGAAAACCACTACTGGTCACAGTAACTCGTTACTAATTATTTTAGTGGTCACTACACAAAAGGAAATGGTCATTGCCTGACCTAGCTGTTAACTCTTAACTTATAATAAACTGATAAACATATTCATGAAGAAAGAAAAGACTGTAATTTATTTTGAATGTTTTATTAAAGTAACAGAGATTATTTCCATATATATATAGGTATGTTGATAGTATAGATACGATATCAAACTATGTGAATATTGTTTACTTTACTGTAATTTGTTCTATAGTTTAGATATGATCTTAAACTATGTGAATATTGTTTACTTTACTGTAATTTGTTCTATAGTTTAGATATGATCTTAAACTATGTGAATATTGTTTACTTTTGTATTCAGTATCTTCCAGGACAAACACAGTATACTGTTGGTGTGTATTCAGTATCTTCCAGGACAAACACTGTATACTTTCAGTGTGTATTAAATATCTTCCAGGACAAACACAGTATACTTTCAGTGTGTATTCAGTATCTTCCAGGACAGATTTAGAGGATAATAATTTGGAATTTTTCTGACTTATTCAGCATTAGTAGAGCAAAGAACAGCATTGGGAATATTTTTTGAAATTACCAAAAATATTTTTTTAATGATCATATCATGTCTTTTGCTGTATGTTTGATGTTAAATTATTTGAACCCTTTAACTTATGATGGGGTGCACATGGATCCCCTGTGTTTCTAAACACATTTTTATAAACTATTAAGCACCAACTTGCTTGGTTTTGTTGGTTGTCACAGTATACTGTTGTGTATTCAGTATCTTCCAAGACAAACACAGTATACTGTTGTGTATTCAGTATCTTCCAAGACAAACACAGTATACTGTTGTGTATTCAGTATCTTCCAGGACAAACACAGTATACTGTTGTTTGTCTTGGAAAAATTCCTAGAAATTCAATCCTATAAATGTAATATTTCTTTGAGATAAAATAAAAAATACCCTATATAACTAGAGAACAAAAAAAACCTGTTTCCTGATATGATAAATTGGAAGTCAGAATACTTTCTGCAGGTCCATATAGCTCTGACTTGAACCAGTACTTTCTGCAGGTCCATATAGCTCTGACTTGAACCAATACTCTCTACAAGTCCATATAGCTACTTTCTGCAGGTCCATATAGCTCTGACTTGAACCAGTACTTTCTGTAAGTCCATATAGTTCTGACTTGAACCAGTACTTTCTGCAGGTCCATATAGCTCTGACTTGAACCAGTACTTTCTGCAGGTCCATATAGTTCTGACTTGAACCCTGACTTGAACCAGTAACTATATGGACCTGTAGAAAGTACTGGTTCAAGTCAGAGCTATATGGACTTACAGAAAGTACTGGTTCAAGTCAGAGCTATATGGAGCTGTAGAAAGTACTGCTTTATTATTATTAGTAACCATATATTAACAAAAGCACAACCAGAACATAAAACGTATAAAATAAAATTAAACCTGACTTTCCAAAGTACATCTGACTGTTACTTACATAAATTATTTGCTACTTACTTGTTTATTTCGCTCTCGAGATCCTGAATTTTCTCAGTTTCTACACTCATGTTAGTTCTAAGCTCTTCTGAGAATTTCAGTTTATCTTCATACAAATGTGCTTGATTTTGAAGGCGAGTCTGAAGTTCGGATATTTCTATTTCTTTTTCTTCTTGGTATCTTTTGTGTAAAACAAACATTTGTGTATCATTTCTCTCAATAAAGGTATTTTTGAAACTATTTTCTATAGTTATTGTTGGATTACACTCAGAAGCTTAAAATGGGAGCAAAATGTAAACCAAAACAACAAATGTTCTAAAGATCATGTCAATTCCAATACATTTTAAACTAGAGGGCGCTCAGTAGAGCACATACCTCCGCCATACAGCATTGATCATATTGGGCTCTCAAAAATATACAAACATGTGTCTGTATGTCTGTCCTTATCAATGGACACAGACCATTTTTGGCAGAACAATGAAGAATAATATTCTACATATGTCCACCAAGTTTAATCAAAATCCAGTCATTTTTGACTGAGTTATAGAGCAAAAATAGTGTGAAAAATCAGATAGGGATTTTTTTATTTTCATGACCTTAATCTTTGACCCTGACCCTCCAAAAACTAATCACTTCTAAGTTGGGTCATATTCATATGTATACTAACTTTCATCGAAGTCCATTCAGCTGTTTTTGAGAAATCTTGCTGACAAACATACACACAGAGGTAAAAACATAACCTTCAGTGGTGGAGGTAAAAATCCATTACAATATGAAAAACAGCAACATTACACTTTTAAAAATGTGTATTTATGTTAAACTACAAAGAATCACTTACTTCTCAAACTCTGATTTTAATGAGTAGATACAGTTTTCTGACATCTCCAGTTCACTTCAATAAAAAAAAACATTTAACATCAGAGCAACTTGCATGAACATTGATTTTTATTAACCATCCTATACTGTAAACACAAATACTACTAACAATATATCAATTCTATTATAAAAATATGAAAGATAATGGAAGAAATTACAACGATTTCTAGAACATTTTTTT